CATACTGGAGAGAAACCTTATGAATGTAATCAGTGTGGTAAAGCCTTCGCACACCATGGTAATCTTCAAAATCATGAACGAACCCATACTGGAGAGAAACCGTATAAATGTAATCAGTGTGGTAAAGCCTTTTCATGTTCCAGTACTCTCCAAAGGCATGAAAGAACCCATACTGGGGAGAAACCCTATGAATGTAATCAGTGTGGTAAAGCCTTTGCTTGTCCCGGTTATCTCCAAAAGCATAAAAGAACCCATACTGGGGAGAAACCGTATGAATGTAATCAGTGTGGTAAAGCTTTCGCGCAGCAAGATTATCTTCAAATTCATAAAAGAACCCATACTGTGGAGAAAACCTATGAATGTAATCAGTGTGGTAAAGCCTTTGCTCTTCTCAGTTATCTCCAAAAACATAAAAGAGCCCATACTGGGGAGAAACCGTATGAATGTAATCAGTGTGGTAAAGCCTTTGCATGTTCCAGTACTCTCCAAAATCATGAAAGAAGCCACACTGGAGAGAAACACTATGAATGTAATCAGTGTCGTGAATCCTTTTTACAGCACATTCATCTACAAAGTCATGAAATTAGACATGCTGGAGAGAAAACCCTATGAATGTAATCAGTGTTGTAAAGCCTTTGTATGTCACAGTAGTCTCCAAACACATGAAAGAACACATACTGGAGAGAAACCCTATGGATATAATCAATGTGGTAAAGCCTTTGCATGTATAGTGATCTCTGAAAACATAATAGAAACACTACTGGAGAGAAACATTACATATGTAATTAGTGTGCTAAAGGCTTTGTTTATCATAGTCATCTTTAAAGACATAAACTGACATTTGCTGGATATAAACTCTATGAATGTAATGAGTGTGGTAAAGCCTTTGCACTTCACAGTACTCTACAAATGCATAAAAAATCACACAGTGGAGATAAACTCTATAACTGTAATCAGTGTGGTAAGGCATTTGCATGTATGAATAATCTAAATCATGAGAAATATCATATGGCATAGAAACCCTGTAAGTGGTTTTACTGTGATAAAGTTTTGTACTTTATATAGGAGTAAAACTTTTTGTGTGCAACAATCTGTTAAAATCTTTGAATATTACAATAGACATTGACTACCTGAAAAAGATACTGAGGACTTCTTATTATAAAGTATTTGGTTCACCTTCTTATTTAGGTTCTCTAGGATCACGAATTATAGGCTCAAAACCTTTAACTCTGGCTAGAATCCACTTATGAGTGAGTACATACCCTCTGATACAAGGGGACTGATCGAAGGAGAGCTCACCAAGGCCAGCTGGACTGGAACTCAACGACTATGTGATCAAACTGGAGTCTCTGAATGTGGCTGACATGGGGGCTGACTGAGAAGCCATTGGCAATGGCACTGGGTCTTGTTTTGTCTGCATGTACTGGCTTTTTGGGATCCTAGTCTGTTTGGATGCTCACCTTCCTAGACCTGGAGGGAGAGGGGAGGAACTTGAACTTCCCACAGGGCAGGAAACCCTGACTGCTCTTAGGACTGGAGAGGGAGGAGGAGAGGGAGTGGGGGGAATGGGAGGGCATGGGGAGGAGGGGAGGAAGTGGAAATTTTTATAAACAAATAAATAAATAAATTTTAAAAAATAGTATTTGAAAATTTACTTAAAAAAATAAAAAAAATAAAAAATAGTATTTGGTAAGATCTTTAGCCAAAACACTTATAATAAGCTACACAATGATTTGGTTTTCCCTTCTGTATGTTGTGAATATATTTTGTTACCATTGTTTAATAAAGAAGCTGCTTTGGTCCTATGGCAGGGCAGAATAGAGCAAGGCAGGAATTCCTAGCAGAGATAGAGGAGAAAAGAAAGTGGAGTCAGACTCCATGTATCTGCTGAAGGAGACAGATGCCCTGGAACCTTACTGGTAAATCACAAGTCTTGTGGTAAAATACAAAATAATAGGAATGGGGTGGTTTAAGATGTCAGTGTTAGTTAACAAGAATCCTGAACCAATAGGCCAAGCAGCGTTAATTAGTATAGTTTCTGTGTGATTATTTTGGGTCTGGGCAGCCAGGAATAAACAAGAATCTTCTGTCTATAATACAAGAGTATTTCTTCTGTAGAAATTAATTTGACAGTGTTAACCATCTTCAAGCATTATGATGTCCTTTTTATACTGTTTGTACGTGCAATTATGGTATAATGAATTTATGAAGCCCTATGTGTAGGGTAAATAGGCCAGCTAAAGAAACTCATCCTGACCCTGAAACCAGAGCCATTGAAATATATAATTTTGACTCTGAAACTGGAGCCAAAGAAATACATCCTGTTAGGAAACTCCCTAGTTGGGTGAACAGAGAAGCATTGGACAACTCTGCTAGGAAACTCCCTTAGGGAAGTGGGGCAGAACAGCAATGGATGTCTCTGCTTTGAAGCTCTCTTAGCAGAGTGAAGCAGGGCCCAGCTGTGATGGCTCTCTTTTGTAGGGGAGCAGTATTGCTACACCCTTTAGGGGAACATCTCCCACTGGAACACAGCTTCGTGTTTAGCTGGACTTCCCAATAGTATATGTCAGGGACCATCTTTGACAAGTATACCACTTACCAGGGTAGGGGTATGGGGATTAGAACATAAGTAAAGAGAATGAAGACACAAGTGAAAATAATAAAACAGAAGCATAGGACAGCACCAGGAGGAAGTTCCTGTGAATACTGTAAATCTGCCTGCATTTAATTTTTCATATACATTTTTAAAAAAGATTTATTTATTGTATATATGTTTTTCTGCCTACGTACATGCCTGCAGGCCAGAAAAAATGCACCTGATCTCATTACAGCTGGTTGTAAGCCACCATTTGGTTGCTGGGAATTTAACTCAGGACCTTTAGATGAGCAGGCAGTGCTCTTAATCACTGAGCCTTCTCTGCAGACCAATTTTTTTATATAGTTTTATGCCCCGATACAGCAGCGAGAAGAAGACAAAAGACTGCTCTAGCATAATGCAAAAGACAACAAGAACAGTTACTTCCTTCAATACTTTGAGACACCAAGTCCTTAATTATTGAGAAAAACATTCTGTTATTCAGGCAGTGAACCCTCCCTAGACCAAGTATTCAAAAGGCAGTCATTCCCGAAGTCAAACCTCTTAATTCAAAAGAAGTAGCAGAAGTATGTTTGGATTCTTTCACGTTTGCTCAAGGGGAAGTGGATTTACCTGTATTGGCTCTCTTAAAGCCCCAAACACAAAACAACCAGACTTTAGGGCAGTGTGTGTAGCCACACCTGTTAACAATTTTGAACAACCTCAAACTCTGACTTTCAGATAAGGTGGAAATAGGCTCATGGTTTTGGGCCTCCACAACGATACCTTTTCACCTCATAGTTTTAGGTATTCACTACACTTTCCCTTCACAACTGTTGGTATGGTCCAACTTCTAACAGTCAAGGTACCATTTTCTTCAGAGACCTAGGTATGAGACTACCTTCCCTCCACTGTTTCAGTTATACCCAGACTTCTCAACAGTCCGGATTCATTTCTCTTTATACCTGTAGGTATCTAGTATACTTTCACAGCAGTAGGTGTATCTTGATATGACAGTGAGGGTACCTTTCTCTTCAGAGCCTTTTCTCCACAGCTTCTGGGATAGCCTGACTTAATAACAGTCAGGGTAGCTTTCCTATCAGCTGTAGATATCCAGGATTGTATTGGAGCCTGCAGAGGCAGTTTCTGTAGCCATCTAGACCTAAATAGTCACACAGAAAATATATTAAATACAACACTGTTTGGCCTGTTAGCTCAAGATTCTATTAACTAATTCTTACATCTTAAATTAACCCATTTCTGTTCATCTCAACACAAGGTTGGGGGTTTATCATTAAGGTTCTGTTCTGGCATCTTTCTGCTTCAACAACTACGTTGCATCTCTTTTACTCCACCTAGTCTCTCTATATATCTCATCCAGCCTGACTACATTCTGCACTGTTGTAGGCCCAAGCAACTTTTTTATTATCCAATGACACTAAATCATGTTCACAGCATACAGAGGGGGATCCCACATCACAGGATACCTTCCCTTCACAACTGTAGGCATAACCTGACTTCTGACAATCTCTTTTACAGAGGTCGCTTGTTTGGTTCCCAGCTAGTTTAGATCTGAAATAACCACACAAATACTGTATTAATTAAATCACTGCTTGGCCCATTGGCTCTGGCTTCTTATTGGCTCACTCTCGCATATCAACTTAAACCATTTCTATTAATTTGTGTATTGCCAAGTTGCTGTGACTTTCTGGGTAAAAATCCCAGCATGTGTCTCTGGCTGCTCCATGTCATCTCTCTTCTTCTGCTGTTCTTCCTCCTAGCATTCAGTTCAGTTTTCCCTGCCTGCTTAAGTTCTGCCCTATCAACAGGCCAAGGCAGTTTTTTATTCATTAATAGTAATCACAACACAAAGAGGGGAATCCCACATCAAATCAGGATATCTTTCTCCCACAGCAGTAGATATCTAGACTACCTTCCTTTCTTAGTTGTAGATATAGCCTGACTTCTGACAGTCAGAATCATTTTCCTTCCAGAGCTATAACACATGCACTACGCTTTTAAACAATAATGTAACCCCTTTTTATTTTTTTCTCTTCAATTAAATGGAATCACTGATTCAGGCATAAAACTTTGTTGATTCATATTAGTTCATTTTCTGTTGTTGTGATATAATGTCTACCTATAAAAATTATACACTTATAAAAATAAATTTGGCCTTTGGTTCTAGAGTAATACAGAATTGTCATGAAAGTGAGTGACACCTCAACTGGGCACTGGTGGTGCATACTTTCAATCCCACACTCAGGAGGCAGAGGCAGATGAGTTTCACCAGTATTTTGTACAAGAAATAGTCCTAGGACAGACTTCAAAGCTACAGAGAAACACTTTCTCAAAAAAAGAAAGAGTTATGACTATAAGTGTCTAACATGACAGCTAATACAGAAAGCTAAGAACTCAAATCCTTAACCTACAGCATGAAACAGAGTGTGTAAACTAGAAAAGCCTACTCCCAGTGACTTATTTCCTCCAGCAGGACAGCATTTCATAACTCTTCCCAAATGATTCCATTAACTTAGAAGACTTGATTTCTTAGACTTCAGGCCTACCTGATTGCATCATGATGAAGAAAAACTTTGTCAGCCATTAGGTGCCTTAACACCTGTAGTATAGGAATGAATTCTTACAGAAGAAAAACTTTCATGAGTGAAAATGTTTAAAGAGTTGTTTTAGTTGTGATTATAATATCAGTGTGTTTTTGCATGGGTATGTGAATGTACACGCTTGTTTCTGATAATATTAGATCCTAGGATTTTATAGCAGAAATTACAGGATGTTGTCAAAAATCAGACCTTGGTTTTGGGAGTGAACATTTCTTTACTGCCCAGCCATGTTTCTAGTGCTCTAAATATTTTAAAGCCTATGTGTTTCAATCCAAAGTCAGGAAATATGGATAAACTCACACTGATGAAAACTCTTTTCCTGAAAATGATTTTCAAGACTTTAGATATCACAGTTGTCTTCAGCTATAAGAGAAAAGGTAATGTTTTATTTATTTTTCATCATATCCTTGATGGAAATAAATTACTTACCATGTTTACTGAAGACTGATGGTACAGATCACTGCACTTTAGTTTTTATTTTGAAGCATTTGAGGTAGATATTAAAGTGTGCTCCATGTGTGACAAATCCATTGAGTGAAG